ATAAAAAAAATTTTTTGAACATTTTGAAAAAATATTCCGATTGGAAATTTTTTTACCCAGGGAATGATGGATAATTGATAAATTCAAATTTCGGAAAATTACCGGCGATTTTCCGGGGCTTTCACATAATTTTTCGGTAATTTCTCAGGCGTCAAGAATTCGTACGTCGCGAACTGAAGAATCAGATAAAATTTTTTATTAACTTTCATTTTTGAAGCGCTTGAAGAAATCAGGAAACGAGAATTTATCGCCGTTTCACGGAAGTCATGAACTTTGAGTAAAAAGGGCAACCGGTAAATTACTTCTTGCCCTCATCCTGATCATCACGACGATAATAGTATCTGCTAAAATTACCAGCAATTACAGCCAATAATTTTCAATGTCTTCCGTAATTTTTCAACAGCTCAAGCATTAAAGAGTCAAATATAATTCCGCAAAATGAAAAATCGCTGGAGTAATTCGATAAATTTTGAATCTACAAAAAAATATTCTCCATTTCAACATAGAAATCACTCCATTACTCTTAATTCCATTCGTCAATTAGAGAAATTATTTAATGATCCTGGGAAATTATCCGTAACGAAAAAATTTCTTTTCACAATTGGATGACTTCACTGGACTATTTAAGCCCCTTACGATAATAAACTCTATTAAAATTATGTCAAATTACAAATAATAATTTTTACCGTCTTTCAAAATTTCTCCAAAGCGTCTTCAGTCATTAAAAATTAGAAACGGAATTATTAAAGATTATTAAAATTCACAAATGATTTCATTTTCAATATTCATCCCCCAAACATTGAATTTGCAATCCGCAAATGAATATTCAAAAAATAAATAATATAGCCCTCTCCGTATTTTTCCAATTCATAAACAATACATAAACAATAAATACAAAAAATATTTATTTCCAACCGCAGAAATGTTTACAATTAAATTCAGGGAAAGGGTTTTTTATAAACTTATTGATCAATTAATGAAGCATTTAATAAATGTTAAAAATTATTGGTAACAAACAATTTCTCTCCCCAATTAGACAACTTGAATAAACAATTAAAACTTTGTAATATTTTTAATATAAATCTCGTTTAATTCAATATGCGAGGATTTTCCTCACATGGTGACTCTAAAAGGAAATAAAAAAATAGATTTCAATTTATTATATGATTTATAATTAGACATTAGGGAATGAAGTATAAAATACCGTAGATTGAAGTTTATTTTTTTTCCTGTGGACCGAAATCTCGTGCATTTTCCGTGAAGTATTGAGAAAGACAGATCTCTCTGTACATAGAGAGTCAGTAAAAACATGGTACGTTCGAAACGTTTAAATAAATTCGTATCTATGTACGCGATTGCCTTTCTAACCACCGACTGAGGCTAGTCCATTCCAAGTCGCTGGGACATGCGATTGGAACCGAATCAATTCAAAAATTGAAAATCCCCTTTTTTTTATTTTAAATTTCAAGTGTAATTATCTCAGACCGAAGATCGCGTGTTGTTCCACGCAAATCGCATGTTCACACGCGATTTTCATTCTTAGGAAATTGCACTTGAAAGTTCAAGTGAACAAATTTGTCATTTTTAACGACAAAGTCTGTGATATTTCCGCATTATTGCAGCGAGTATTTCTCTTGGAATTATTTTGAAATTCTGAATTTTTGCAGTCTTTCTATCGTCTTTAATGTATCTGAGCTCAGGTCAATTGATCAATTTATCTCTGATTTATGAACACTAAAAAATACCTCGAGTGGCCATTTTTCTTCACCTGTTTTAGGCAAAATTGGTAGAGCAATTACTGAAATTCAGGAGTTATTTCCTGAGATTTTTATTCTCCTTTCGTGAGAATATATGGCCGTATATTTCGGTGAGATTAACGGAAATTCTTAACACAAAAAAAAGAATCAATAAAAGTTACAGTAAAAAAAATATTACTCGTGCAAAATCAATTGACTAATTGCAAGAAAATCCATGAATTCAAATGCAAATAATTATATAAATGTATTTACGCCAAATTATTTTTATTGTCGGTAATTTTAATTTGAATTTCCAGTGAGAAATTACGATTCGGTTATTTTTTTTTT